TCAGTGGATTGGCTATTATTTAACCCCAGGAGGTTAAAGGTCGCCGGAAAGAGCCGCCCGAGATTATCCCAGGTTTATTCGGTGTTCTGAGATTAGTGTGGATTATGGCGAGAGGTGACACAACTGAAATACATCACCGATGTCTCATCGCTTTTGCAAGATCTATCAAAACTCTCGAATGGGCGGTTTGACTGTTTGGTTGTCCCAGATTCCTTTTCTGGTTGTGCAATTTGGGCTTTATATATATATATATATATATATTAAAAAAAAGCCTGGGTTAGGGAGCTCGGCAAGGCACGGATTCTTTCGGAGGGTGGAGCTGGGGCCAGGTTGCGTCCTCTTAGCCTCAATCTTCCCTTCTGTAAAATGGGAATCCTGTCCTGTCCTAGTTCTGGGGATCGGATTAGAGGGAAAGGTTTTCTCTTCTGACCCAGATTCGGAATCCCTTCTGCATATGAGACAATTCCATTTCTCTTCTCCTTCGGGTTGGGGGGGGGCGTTGGGGGGTTTGCAAGCGAGGTGGAAAGGGTAGAAGCTTGGAGGTCATAAGCAAACAGGGAAGGGAAGGGAAGGAAAAGAAAGGAAAGGAGAAAAAGGGAAGGGAAGGAAGATAAAAGAGGGAAGGGAAAGGAAGGAAAGGAGAAAAGGGGAAGGGAAGGAAGATAAAAAGAGGGAAGGGAAGGAAAGGAAAGGAAAGGAGGGAAGGAGAAGGGGGAAAGGAAAGGAAAGGAGAAAAAGAGAAGGGAAGGGAAGGAAGATAAAAGAGGGAAGGGAAAGGAAGGAAAGGAGAAAAAGGGAAGGGAAGGAAGATAAAAAGAGGGAAGGAAAGGAAAGGAAAGGAGGGGAAGGAGAAGGGGAGGAAAGTAAAGGAGAAAAAGAGAAGGGAAGGAAGATAAAAAGAGGGAAGGAAAGGAAAGGAAAGGAGGGGAAGGAGAAGGGGAGGAAAGGAAAGGAAAAGAGAAAAAGGGAAGGGAAGGGAAGGAAGATAAAAGAGGGAAGGGAAAGGAAGGAAAGGAAAGGAGAAAAAGGGAAGGGAAGGAAGATAAAAAGAGGGAAGGAAAGGAAAGGAAAGGAGGGGAAGGAGAAGGGGAGGAAGATAAAAGAGGGAAGGGAAAGGAAGGAAAGGGAAGGAGAAAAAGGGAAGGGAAGGAAGATAAAAAGAGGGAAGGAAAGGAAAGGGGGGAAGGAGAAGGGGAGGAAAGGAAAGGGAAGGAGAAAAAGAGAAGGGAAGGGAAGGAAGATAAAAGAGGGAAGGGAAAGGAAGGAAAGGAAAGGAGAAAAGGAAGGGAAGGAAGATAAAAGTGGGAAGGGAAAGAAAGAAAGAAAGAAAGAAAGTCACTTATCTGAAATGTTATAGAAAGAAGCAAGGAAGGGAAGGAAAAGAAGGAAGAAGGAAAGAAAGAGAAAGGAAAGAAAGGAAAAAAGAAAAAAAAAGAAAGAAAAGGGAAGGAAAGAAGGAAAGAGAAAGAAAGAAAGAAAGAAAGTAACTTATCTGAAACGTTATAGAAAGAAGCAAGGAAGGGAAGGAAAAGAAGGAAGAAGGAAAGAAAGAGAAAGAAAGGAAAGGAAAAACAGACAGAAAAGAGAAAAAGAAAGAAAAGAAAGAAGGGAAGGAAGAAGAAAAAGAAAAAGAAGGTAGGAAAGAAAGAAAGAAAGAAAGAAAGAAAGAAAGAAAGAAAGAAAGAAAGAAAGAAAAACTATATATATATATATTTTTTTTAAAAAATAGAAGCCATCAGACAATCCGTTAAATGCTCAAATGAACCTTTTCCAAACCTTGATGGCTTGTTTTAAAGAGTATTTTTGTGTGTGTGTGTTGGTGTGTGTGTGTGTGTGTGCCCTTCTCCATTTTAAATCTCTTCTGGGCCTGGAGATGGATGGGGCTGATTTAAATGGAGTTGCTTTTAAAATTCTGCTCTGACTTAACCTACATTTTCCAAAAGGCTTCAAGCTTTTCTTTTTTTCTTTTTTCTTTCCACGATTCATTTATTTATTTATTTTTGCAGGTCAGAGTTTGATTAAAATTTAAATAAAGGCCTGGATAAATTGCCTTTTATTCTGTTGGGTTAGCAGAAGGGGAAAAAAAAGGCATTTAGGAAGTAAGGATATATATATATATGAATTTTAAAGCCAAATGCAAAATATAAGTGATTTTTGCCCCATTTTACGACCTTCCTTGACACCGTTGTTAAGCAAATCGCGGCAGCTGATGGTTGTTCGTGAACTTCCTGACCAGATTCACTTAACAACTATGTGACTAACTTAACAACGGTGGCAAAAAAAGGTCGTAAAATGGGGCAAAACTCTTCTCTGAGCGAATGTTTCGCATAGCAACCTAAGCGTTTGGGCTCAATTGCGGCCGTAACTCGAGGACTGCCCGTCTCACGACTTGGGGAGGAGAATGAAGGGATCCTTACTCTTTGGAGCAACTAGTGAGAATCAGGACTTTGGGACGTGGTGATGGACAGATTCCCTTTGGGTAGCTAGTCCTCGACTTACAACGCTTACTTCGTGATCGTTCAGAGTTTACAATGGCACCGGAAAAAGTGACGGAGGGCCATTCTCCACACTTACGACCGTTGAAGCATCCCCAATGGGATCAAAACTCAGCCGCTGGGTAACTGACTCGTATTTATGACGGTCTCAGCATCCCGGGGAGGAAACGAGATCCTCCTTTTGCAACCTTCGGACGAGCGACGTCATTAAGGGAAGCCGGATTCACTCAGCGGTTCGCTTAACCCACTTTCTTTCTGCCTCTGACTTCTCTCTTTTTCTCTCTTTCTCTTTTTCTTTCCTTCTTTTTTCTTTCTTTTTTTCTTCTCTTGCTTTCTCTTCCTTCCTTCCTTCCTTCCGTCTCTTGCTTTCTTTCTTCTTCTCTTTCTTTCTGCCTTTGACTTCTTTCTTTCTCTCTCTTTGTTTCTCTCTCTTTCTCTTTTTCTCGCTCTGCCTCTCTTCTTTCTCTTTCTTTTTCCTTCTTTCTTTCTTTCCTTCTCTCTTTCTCTTTTCTTTCCTTCTTTTTTCTTTCTTTTTCTTCTCTTGCTTTCTCTTCCTTCCTTCCGTCTCTTGCTTTCTTTCTTCTTCTCTTTCTTTCTTCTTTCTTTCCTTCTCTCTTCTCTTTTTCTTTCCTTCTTCTTTCTTTCTTCTTTCTTCTTCTTGCTTTCTCTTCCTTCCAGCCTTCCCTTGCTTTCTTTCTCCTTCTCACTTTCTTTCTGCCTCTGATTTTCTCTTTTTCTCTCTTTCTCTTTTTTTTGCTCTGCCTCCTTTCTTTCTTTCTTTCCTTCCTTCTTTTTTCTTTCTTTTTTATTTGGTTGAAAAATATGAAATTAACCATGGCCTCCTCATATAAAGAAAACATATATAAAATGATCTACCGGTGGCATCTACCCCCGGCGAGATTAGCTAAAATGTTTCCCGGGGACATCTGAAGAAAAGACAAAGGAAAGAGAAAAGAAGGAAAGACAAAGGAAAGAGAAAAGAAGTGGACCTGCCTGCAGGCGATTAATGGATTAACCATTAGCAATGGATTTTGGAAATTACACAGATTAATTTGGAATTAAGACCTGAGATTTTCCTATTGGGGGCAAAACCTTTGAATGTTAAATCAGATATATGGTTCTTGTTGATTCACATTATCGCTGCAGCAAGATTAGCGTTGCGCAGGAGTGGAAAAATCAATACTTACGATAGATTTGAAAATAATATATAAAATTAATGAGTGTGCGGAATCAGATAGATTAACTAGATTGATCAATGGTAAAAAAGATTCAGAATTTTATAACAGTTGGAAAGTATGGTACGATTGGGTCCAGAAAAGGTGGGATAGAATAGATATATGATGATGTATATATATATGATGGCAAATATGTATGTATAAAGGAATGACTTTATACTTATGGACAATGTAATCACATTATACCATGGTGGCAGGATTGTATATTTTATTTGTGTATAGAATATATTAATAAAAATTATAAAAAAGAAAAAGAAAAGAAGGAAAGAAAGAAACAAGGAAAGGAAAGAAGGAAGGAAGGAAGGAAAGCAACAGAAGGAAGGAAAGGAAGAAGGGAAAGGAAGGAAGGAAATGAAGAAATGCAGAGAGGAAAGGAAAGAAGGAAGGAAGGGAAGAAAGAAAGAAAGAAAAGAACGAAAAAGAGGGGAAGGAGGGGAGGGGGAGGGGAAGGGAAGGAAAGAAAGAAGGAAAAAAAGAAAGAAGGAAAGGAAGAAAGGATGGAAAGGAAAAAAGGAAAGGAAGGAAAGGAATGAAAGAAAAGACAGGAAAGAAAAAAGGAAAGAAAGAAACAGAAGGAAAGAAGGAAGGAAGGAAAGCACAGAAGGAAGGAAAGGGAAGAGGGAAAGGAAGGAAGGAATGAAAGAAATGCAGAGAGAAAGGAAAGAAGGAAGGAAGGGAAGAAAGAAAGAAAGAAAAGAACGAAAAAGAGGGGAAGGAGGGGAGGGAGGAAAGGAAAGAAGGAAGAAAAAGAAAGAAGGAAAGGAAGAAAGGAAGGAAAAGGAAGAAGGAAAGGAAGGAAGGAATTATTATTTTTTATTATTATTATTTTATAAAATTTGTATGCTGCCCTATCCCAAGGACTCAGGGTGGCTCACAACAACAGTTGACCAAGAATGAAAGAAAAGACAGGAAAGAGAAAAGGAAAGAAAGAAACAGAAGGAAGGAAGGGAAGGAAGGAAGGGAAGGAAGGAAGGAAGGAAGGAAGGAAGAAATGCAGAGAGAAAGGAAAGAAAGACAAAGGAAGGAAGGAAAGAAAGAAAGAAAGAAAGAAAGAAAGAAAGAAAGAAAGAAAGAAAAAGAAAGAAAGAAAAGAAGTTGAAGTCCATCCATCTTCCAGCTGCCAAGGTGTGGAGAAAAACTGCCGTGTGGCTATTTCAGTGCTTAAATCTGTGCAAATAACAAGAAGAACAACATGGAGGAGGAGGAGGAGGGGTCCTTCAACCCATCACTCACCTGGCCTCCTGTCCCCCCCTCCATTTCTCCCCCCCAGCCCTTATCTTGCTGTTCTACTTGGTCTTCTACGGCTTCCTGACGGCCCTCTTCACCCTCACCATGTGGGTCCTGCTCCAGACCGTGGACCCCTTCATCCCCAAATATCAGGACCGCCTCTCCGTCCCAGGTGAGTCGCATAATTCTCCTTCCCTCCGCCCAGGTAGGGGAGATAAATGGGCCCCTTTCCCGTCAACTCCCTTCCGCTCTAGCCCAGGCATCCCTGGTTAAATGTTTGGCACTCCGTAAGAGATTTGGGGTTGGACTAGAAGATCTCCGGGGTCCCCTCCAGCCCGGTGAACCTTTTGGGGTGGGGGGCACCAGGTTGGGGGAACGTGGCCTTCCAAACTCTGAATCATGATTTGATTCTGGTTTGCAAGCAAGGGACTGGGGCTGCGAGGAACAGGCCAGCCTATCCATTTCATTAAGAAATAAATGCCAAATAATAAGTTAAATAAAATAAATATGATTAATTTAATGTATTAATTAATTTAAATTTTTGTTAATTAAATTAATAATTTATTAATTTAATTTATTTTTTAGTTATCTGAACTTTTATATTGTATGTTATTTATAATTTTCGGCTGTTTCACTGCCCTGAGTCCCTTCGGGGAGAAGGGCGGGATATAAATTCAATAAATAAATAAATAAAAATAAAATAATGGCATGTCGGAAATATAATTATGGGATGGAAGGGGATTGGGCCTGGAGAGGGAGCCTCAACTAAGGTTGCTTTATATTTTATTATTTTCAATTATTTTCGATTTCCTTTTCTTATTTTTCATTTTATATTTTATGTTATATTCCATCTTATATTTAATGTTTTTTTAAAAAAGTTTAGACGCCACATATTTTTATCCTTTAGCGTATATACTCTGTTCAATCTTTTACTTTTATTTTACACGTCGTCTTCTCTTTTTCTATTTTATTTTCTATTTTATTCCTTTTGATTTGACTTTAACCTTTTTTTTTTTTGCATTCTCTTTTGATCTTTCGGGCGATTTTTTCATTTTTAAAAAAAACGTTACCTTACATCTTGCGTTTTATCTTCTTTCCCCCCATTTCATTTCTTATTATATTTTATACGGTCTTTTAACCTTTTTAGTTTGAATTATTTTATTTGATTTTATTTTTTTAATCTCATTTCATGTTAGAATTATTTTTTTTTTTCCTCCTTTCAATGCCAGGCGTGATGATCCGTCCCAAGACAGAAGCTCTGGAAATCGTCTACAACTTAAGCAAAACCGAATCTTGGGATGATTACGCAAAAATGCTCAATAGTTTTTTGGAAGGTGAGTGAGGGAAGAGAGCCAAGTTCACCTCCCAAAGGAGAAAACAGAATAAGAGAGCTGAAAGGGACTTCGGAGGTCATCTAGTCCAGCCCCCTTCCCAAGCAGGAAACCCCATACCATCCCAGACACATGGCTGTCCAGTTTTTCTTAAAAACCTCCAGTGATGAAGCACCCACAACTTCTGGTGGCAAGGAGTTCCACTGGCTAATTGTCCTCACTGTTAGGAAGTTTCTCCTTAATTCCAGGCTGCTTCTCTTCTTGGTTAGTTTCCATCCGTTGCTTCTTGTCCTGCCCTTCAGGGGCTTTGGAGAATAGGGGGACCCCCTCCTCTTTTTTGGGGTAGCCCCTCATGTTGGAAGACTGCTATCGTGTCACATGGCCAGGATTTGTGTGCCTATGTGGAAGGGAAAGGAATGGGAAAAAGAGGAGAGGGAGGAAAGTAGAGGAGAGGGAGAAGAAGAGAAGGAAGGAAGAGGGAAAAAGGGGAAAAAGTGGGGAAGGAAGGGAGGAAGGAAGAAAAAGGAGGGAAGGAGAGAAGAGGGTGAGCAAGTGAAGGGAAGAAGGAAGAAAAGGAAGGAAGGAAGGAAGAAAAAGGGAAGGAGAGGAGAAGGGAAGAAGGAAGGAGAAAAAGGAGGAAGGAGAGAAAATGGGGAGCAAGTGAAGGGAGGGAGGAAGAAAGGAAGAAAGGAAGGAAGGAGAGAAGACGGGGAGCAAGGGAAGGAAGGAGAAAAAGGGAAGGAGAGAAGAGGGGAGCAAGTGAAGGGAGGAAGGAAGGAAGGAAAGTGAAAAAGGGAAGGAGAGAAGAGGGGGAACAAGTGAAGGAAGGAAAGTGAAAAAGGGAAGAAGAGAAGAGGGGGAGCAAGTGAAGGGAGGAAGGAAGGAAGAAGAAAGGAAGGAAGGAGAGAAGAGGGGAGCAAGTGAAGGGAAGAAGGAAGGAGAAAAAGGAGGAAGGAGAGAAGAGGATGAGCAAGTGGAGGGAGGAAGGAAGGAAGAAGGAAGGAAGGGGAGAAGAGGGGGAGCAAGGGAAGGGAGGATGGAAGGAAGGAAGGAGAAAAAGGGAAGGAGAGAATAGGGGGAACAAGTGAAGGAAGGAAGGAAAGTGAAAAAGGGAAGGAGAGAAGAGGGGGAGCAAGTGAAGGAAGGACGGAAGGAAGGAAGGAGAAAAAGGGAAGGAGAAAAGATGGGGAGCAAGTGAAAGGAGGGGGAGGAAGGAAGAAAGGAAAAACTGCTTTTGGAAAAGGAAAACTTTTATAAGTCCACCGAACTGTAGCGACTCCGGGCAGTTCCCAAAGTCAAATCTCCATAAAACCACCAAGAACAGTCACAAACAAACCAACACTCGTTTGCTGAAACCGTGGTTTGTGGCTGGGCAAGTGTCCCTATCCTCACCCAACCCAACCCACCCGTAGCCCCTTCCCCGTAGGGCTGGTTGACCCTTTGATGTGGACCTCTCCCAGGAGCCAGCCGGATCTGATCGTCTTCTCCACCCAATTTCCACTCCTGCCTCCCTCCCTCTCGGTCTCTCTCTCTGTCCTCCAGCCTACAACGACTCTCGGCAAGCGGCCATGAACGAATTCTGCCAGCCCGGCCGTTACAACGAACAACCGGACAACGGGGTGTTGAACTACCCCAAGAGAGCCTGCCAGTTCAACCGCACGATGTTGAGGGACTGTTCGGGACTGAACGACTCGACTTACGGCTACCAGGAAGGACGGCCTTGTATCCTGGTCAAAATGAACCGGGTGGGTTGCTCGAGAATGGGGAGAGGGTCTCCCTAAGAAGGGAGTTAGGGGGTGTGTGCTCAGACGAAGAAGCAAATTGTGGGTTGGGGGCATTGCAAAGGGGCTTCTTAAAACGACGTGCTGCTTCCTGGCCAATTCAGGTAGTCCTCGGTTTGCGACCAAAATCGAGCCAAAATTTGTGTCGCTAAGCCAGACATTTTGAGTTTCGTCCCGTTTTGCTACCAGTTCAAACCAGCTGAATACCAGCACTACCCATGACCCCTGGAGCTGCGACGGTCGTTAAGTGTTTAAATTAGCCCTAAGTCACTTTTCTCAGCGAAGTAACTTGGAACAGTCGCTAAACAAACTTCCGTAACCTGAGGACGACCTGTTAACGTCTTTTCTTCTAGCAAAGAAGAAAAGGGGTGAGAAAAATCATGTTCTGGACCGCCGAGAACCCAACGGAGGTCCTTCCTAAATCAATGTTTGTGGCCACTGGATGATGGGTGGACTTCAACTCCCATAATCCCCCATTAAGGAAGGGATTTACCAGAATTCAACCCGGATAGGACAAGAACAAATATCACTTTTTTTTAAAAAAAAAATGAAAAATGGATAATTTTTAGTAGATAGTGGGAATGCGGTCGACGTAATATAACTTGACTTCAGCAAAGTGGAGGGGAAGAAAAGGTAAATTAATAAGGTAAGGTGGATCAATCAACGAGTTTATTGCCCTAAACAACTTCCTTCCTTGTCTTTGTAGATCATCAACTTCTACGCGGGGTGCCAACCAGCCCATGAACGTCTCCTGCACGGCCAAGGTAAAGAGACCCCCCACTCCCCCCTCCCCACTCCCCCTCCCCACTTTCTCTGTCTTCTTCTCCATCTCTTGTTGGTTTGTTCTTTGGTGTTCACGCATTTTGTCTACTCACTCTGCGCACCTCTCCCGATCTGTCGGAAAAAACCGATATTCTCTGCTGATAGAGACAGAAGTCCGCGTGGGAGGTAAGGGTTACGCGCTCCAGGATAAGATGGCCGCTTTTGGGGCTTCTTCGCCCGCTGTGTAGTTGGCCTAGTTGCTTTTTAGGACGATAATGATAGGATTGTGCCTTCTCTTCAGGAGGCAGCCATGGAGCAAAGTGCCCTTTCTCCAAGAAAGGAGAACGCTGCACTGATGACGTTCCCTAGTTGGGTCATGAAACGTCTGCAAGGAAATAACCCAGCTCAGAGAGCACCGACGACCCCACAATCATTGTACTCCTCCTCCTCCTCCTGTTTTCTCCTCCTCCTCCCCTGTGCCTCCCCTCCTTTCTCCTCCTTCTCTTTCTCCTCCTCTTTTTCCTCCCTCCTCCTCCTCTCCTCCTCCTCCCCCTGTGCCTTCTCCTCCTTTCTCCTCCTTCACCCTCTCTTTCTCCTCCTCCTTCCCTGTGCCTCCCCCTCCTTTCTCCTCCTTCTCTTTCTCCTCCTCTTCCCCTCCCCTCCTCCTCCTTTTTCTCTTCCTTCACTTTCTCCTCCTCCTCTTTTTCCTCCCCTCCTCCTCCTCCTCCTCCTCCCCCTGTGCCTTCTCCTCCTTTCTCCTCCTTCACCCTCTCTTTCTCCTCCTCCTCCCCTGTGCCTCCCCCTTCTTTCTCCTCCTTCTCTTTCTCCTCCTCTTCCCTCCCCCTCCTCCTTTTTCCTTTCCTTCACTTTCTCCTCCTCCTCTTTTTCCTCCCCTCCTCCTTCTCCTCCTCCTCCCACTGTGTCTCCCCCTCCTTTCTCCTCTTTCTCCTCCTCTTTCTCTTCCTCCTCTTTCTCCTCTCTTCCTCCTCTTTCTTTTTCTCTTCTTCCACTTTTCTCCTCCTCTTCCTCCTCTCCTCCTCCCCTCCTCCTCCTTTCTAGCACTGATGATGTTACCTTTTGTTGATGACGCCCCTTTGTTCAACATTTATGTGAAGCCGTTGGGCGAGATCATCCGTGGTTTCGGGGTGGAGTACCACCAGTACGCTGACGACACCAGCTGTACATCTCCACCCTGGACCACCCCAACGATGCCCTTGAAGTGATGTCTCGGTGCCTGGAGGCCGTGTGGATCTGGATGGGAGGAAAGGCTCAGACTCAACCCATCCAAGACCGAGTGGCTGTGGTTTCCGACGTCCCGATATAGGCAGTTGACGCCATCGCTGACTATTGGGGGCGAATCATTGGCCCCCACGGAGAGGGCTCGCAACTTGGGTGTCCTCCTGGATTCACGGCTGTCTTTAGAAGAGCACTTGACGGCCGTGACCGGGAGGATTTTTCATCAGGTTCGCTAGTTGCGTCCCTTTCTGGATCGGGACTCGTTACGCACGGTCACTCATGCCCTCGTCACCTCCCGCCTGGACTACTGCAACGCTCTCTACATGGGGCTCCCCTTGAGGAGCACTCGGAGGCTCCAACTGGCGCAGAGTGCGGCCCGCGCGGGTGGTGATGGGAGCAACATGGAGCTCCCATGTAACACCTCTCCTGCGCGAGCTGCACTGGCTCCCGGTGGTCTTCCGGGTGCGCTTCAAGGTCTTGGTTATCACCTTTAAAGCGCTCCATGGCTTAGGACCTGGTTATCTACGGGACCGCCTACTACCACCAATAGCCTCCCACCGGCCAGTACGCTCCCATAGAGAGGGGCTCCTCCGGGTGCCGTCGGCCAAACAATGTCGACTGGCGGCCCCAGGGGGAGAGCCTTCTCTGTGGGGGCACCTACGATCTGGAACGAGCTCCCCTCGGAGATACGGAGGATTCCGGATCTGCGCACCTTCTGCCGCGCTCTTAAGACGTTCCTATTCCAGCAAGCCGGCCTGACCTAAACTTCTCCTCTTTTAAATGGGAATTTTAAATTTGGTTTTAAATTATTGGGGTTTTAAATATGGTTCAGCCAAATTTATTTAATTTGTTTTATCTCTATTTTAAATTTTGTATTTATATGTTTTATTTTATGGCTGTTCACCGCCCTGAGTCCTTCGGGAGTAGGGCGGTATACAAATTTAATAAAATGAAAAAAAAATAATAATGACTAAGTTGGGTCATAAAACGTCTGCAAGAAAATAACCCAGCTCAGAGAGCACCAAGGACCCTGCAGTCCTCTTCTTCCTCCCCCTCCTCCCTCCTGTTTCTCTCTTCTTCCTCCTCCTCCTTTTTTCTTCCTCCTACCCCTGTGCCTCCCCCTCCTTTCTCCTCCTTCTCTTTCTCCTTCTCCTCTTTCCCCTCCTCCTTTTTCTCCTTCTCCACTTTCTCCTCCTCCTCTTTTTCCTCCCTTCCTCCCCTCCTCCTCCTTCTCCTCCTTCTCCTTCTTTTTCTCTTCTTTCACTTTCTCCTCTTTCTCCTCCTCCATTCCTTATTCTCTTTCTCCTCTCCTCCTCCTCCTTCTTTTTCTCTCCTTTCACTTTCTCCTCTTTCTCCTTTCCTCCTCCTCTTTTCTAGCACTGATGATGTTATCTAATTGGATCATGAAATGTCTGTAAGAAAACAATCAAGCTCAGAGAGCACCAAGGACCCCACAGTTCTCCTCTTCCTGCTCCTCCTCCTCCCTTCTGGCACTGATGATGTTACCTAGTTGGGTCACAAAACGTCTGAAAAAAACAACAACAACAGCCAAGCTCAAGAGAGCACCGAGGACCCCATGACATCCAGCCTCTCTCCTGGTTCTTTGCTCTGTTACAAACTTTGCCCCCCCCCACTTTCTTCTTCTCCCTCGCACCCCAAAACCTGTTTCTATTTGCTTCCTGCTGAGCCCGTTTTCTCGCAAGCATCTTTTTTTGGGGGAGACTGAGTCAATCTTGAGAGTTGCGTTCTGAAATCCACGGTGCTCCTTCCAGCTCTGAATATTTCAGGAACTTATGTAGGTACTAGGAAATAGGCCTGCCTTCTTAACTAGGTTTAAACAAACCTGGATAAGGACGGGGGGGGAGGAAATCCCTCTGCTGAAAGACCCCTTCGGAGGCTGGGAAAATCCTTGAATCGTTTAATCCCTAAATGATTTGTGGGGTACCTAACGTGCGAAAATGCTTATTCTTGTTTGAAAAGAAAAAAAAAAAATTCTATCAATTCTCCTGCTTAGCACAGAGAGTCCTCGACTTACGACCCCAGTGGAACCCAACAGTCCTGACGCTAAGCGAGACAGCGGTCAAGGGAGTTTTCGCCCCCTTTGGCGACCTTCCTTGTTGCCGTCATGAAGCGAACCCCGGCCGTCGTTAAATTAGACACACCATCGTTAAGCGAATTGGGGTTTCTCCGTTGACTTTGCCAAAGGGTATCAAGGGACTCCCCCACCCACCCAGAATGCCATGACCGTCATAAGTACGAGTCACTGGCCGAGCGTCCGCATTTTGCAAGGATGCTGCAACGGTCGTAAGGGTGAAACAATGGTCATAAGTCCCTTTTTTCAGTGCCATTATAACTTCGGTCACTAAACGAATGGTTATAAGTCGAGGACTACCTGTCTTCTAACAGGCACCTGGAGAAACTGAGGCTTTAGTCTCTTAATTCAGGTGCCTCTTTTAACTTTTTCCTGATGCCCGTTCCATTTTCCCCCCCATATCTCGCCCTCCTTAATGATTAAAAACAGTTTACACGCAGTCCTCGCCTTATGGCAGTCCACTTAGTGACCGAAGTGACGACGGCACTGAAAAAAGTGACTTACGACCGTTTTCCCCACACTTACGACCGTTGCAGCCTCCCCGTGGTCGGCTGCTCGGCAACCGACTCCTAGTTACGACGGTCGCAGTGTCCCCGGGTCGTGCGATCCCCTTTTACGACCTCCTGACAACGGGGAAGCCAGATTCGCTTCACCCCCCCCTCACGCTCCTCACTGAATGACTGCAGGTTTTCACTTAACAACGGGGCCCAGAAAGGTCATGAAACGGGGAGAAACTTACTTAACCGCTCCCTCGCTCAGACGCAGGAGAAATTTTTGCGGTCATAAACCGAGGACTTACCTGGATTCCGGCGTCTGTTCGTTGCAGGAAAATCAAACTCCTGATTCCGAGGACTTTGGAAAAACTGGGGCTTGACACCTTCGCCTCCCCCAAAAAAGAAACGGTGTAAGGTTTCCTGCTTAGGCAGGGGGTCAGACTAGATGACCTACAAGGTCCCTTCCAACTCTGTTAATCTGAATCTGAATTTTAATCTGAATCGGAAATTAGGGGTGAAACCTGCCCCAACTTTTCTCTTTGGCTGCCTTCTGAAGTGGACCCACCAGCTTTCCGTGCCTGCTTCCTTGAAGTGTGTGGGGTGGGGGGGACACAGGAATTCTGCTTGCCATCTGACCCCCCACCCCCATCCCCCGGCCACGAATTTCCCACGCCCGCATGAGCCACACCTCCCACCCCCCAAAAAATTAGAATCTCCATCATTGGCTAAACTTTTGCAAAAAGTTTTTCCCCGTACCCCACACCCCAAACTCTACCGGGGAGCTCCATACATCCGACCCATCCTCAATTCTCTTTCTTTATTAACCCGTTCATTTGTTTTACTAACTCCTTCATCCGTCCGTCTGTCTGTCATTGCTCTCGTTCGTCCCTTCCGCCTCTGCGTTTGCATGTTCGCGTCGCGTCTGTCGTTCCTTCCTTCGCCGTTTTCCCACCGCCGGAAGAAGGAAATCCACCCGGAAGACCAAACCGTTGTAAGAGTCCGGGAGGGAGGGAGGGAGGGAGAGGGCAGGGGGCTTCATTTTGGAGAATCTAAGGAGAGGGTGGGGGGGGATAATCTAAAAGACGCAAGCCACCAAGAAGGGGAGAAGTTGCCAAACTACGATCAATCGTGGCTTGTTTGAGTTACGCGGAGGCACTACGCATTTAAATAAAAATAATTGAAGATGCACGGGGTTGATTTCGGGAGGGGGCAAAACTCAGGATTTCGTTTAACATCCCCCCCCTTTTTTTTTGCCTTCCCAGAAAGAGGACGACACGCAGAAGATGGGCGAGCTCGCCATGTTCCCCGCGGACGGGAACATCGATCTCATGTACTTCCCGTATTACGGGAAAAAAGTTCAAGTGAGTACTGATTTTTCTTTCTTTTTTTTTTTTGCACTTACTCAGCGAAGTGCATGCTGGGAAATTCCCTGGTTTTGGTCCACGGGATGCTGCGCGCAGAGATGTTTTATTTGCAAGATTAATTTTGCCATCCTCTTTTTTATTTTTATTCTTTGCTGCCACCGCGGATTTAAAAAAAAAAAAAACCCTCCAGAATTTCAGCTCCCAGAATCCCCCAGCCAGCAGACCAGTTAATTATCATGCCATCTAGTTCATATTTATTTTTATTTTAAAAGTAGTTTTTATTGAATATAAATATTAAAAAAGACATACGTAACATATACACAACCACCATTTATACAACATATACACAAAAAGAGTGTAATTTCTTCTTAAGCATTTTTTCAGAGTGACGTTCTACAATTCTACTTATGATATATTCCTTCACCTCTCCTTAATCTAATAACATTTTTTTATATATATATATATATATATATATATATATATATATATATATATATATATATATATATATATATATATATATATTTAAATCGGTAATATTTCCCCTATATTTTTTGTATATTTCTGATTTTTAACCTATTATACCAATTATTCCATATTTTATAATAGTCTGATTCTTCTCTTTCTTGTAATTCTTTGGTTAACCTATCCATTTCAGCGCATTCTAAAATTTTCCCTATTCTGTTTCAGTTGTATACCATCTAGTTCATATTTAACTAGTTAGTTAACATATTTGAGTAAGTTGTCGTGGGTTATTTATTTTTTTTTCCACTTTGCTGAATTCAAGGTATATTACATCGACTGCATTCCCACCGTCTATTAAGAAAGTTACGGTACCCTATCCAAAAAAAACCCGAGGAAGGTAGTCTAACTACATTCGTTCCTATTTTAAATTCGAATCCCTTATTTTAAATCCGGTATGTTGGGGATGTGAGGTCAGATCAAGGTTTGACGTAGCGTTTTTCAATCTGGGCAGCTTGAAGACGGACGGATTTTAATTCCCAGAATTCCCCCGCCAGCAGACCAGTTTTCCCATTTAATTGTCATGCCATCTAGCCCCCGTTTAACTCGTTTAGTGATGGGTTAATAATGGGTTATTTCTCACTGTTGCTGAAGCCAAGGAATATTACGTCTACCGCATTCCCACCATCTATTTTTTAAAAAAATAATAATTCAATTTTGGGGAGAATTCTGGGAGCTGAAGTCCATGGGTCTTTAACATTGTCAAGGTTGGGAAACTATGATTTGCATAATTCCTTAAATTCAATCCACATATCACTTAAACAAGGGACAATCTGGGGGTATTGAAAGAGGTGGGACAAAATTTAATCCGAAGAAAACAAGTCATAATCCCTTAACTCCTTACGTATAAACGTGCAAGTGAAGCATTTTTAAAGATTAAAGATCTGCTCTAGCGAGAGATCCTGTACCATCAGACAGATGGTTGCCCAATCTCTTCTTAAAAACCTCCAGTGATAAGAGGTTTTTCTATCTAGTTTCTATCTAGTCTGGTGGCAAGCTGTTCCACAGGACTCGCTTTTAGGAAGTTTCTCCTTAATTCCAGGTTGCTTCTCTCCTTGGTTAGTTTCCATCCGTTGCTTCTTGTTCCTGCCTTCAGGGGCTTTGGAGGATAGGTGGTCATCTTCCTCTCCTTTGGGGCAGCCCCTCATATTGGACGACTGCTATCTTGTCACATGGCCAGGATTTGTATGCCTACGTAGAAGGGAAAGGAATGGGAAAAAGAGGAGAGGGAGGAAAGTAGAGGAGAGGGAGAAGAAGAAAAGGGAAAAAGAGGGAAAAGGGAAAAAAGAGGGGAAGGATGGAAGGAAGAAGAAAAAAAGGAGGGAATGAGAGAAGAAGGGGAGAAGTGAAGGGAGGAATGGAAGAAAAAGAAGGAAGGAAGGAAGGAAAAGAGGGAAGGAGAGAAGAAGGGGAGCAAGTGTAGGGAGGGAAAAGGAAGAAAAGGAAGGAGGGAGGGAGGGAGGAGAAAAAGGAGGGAAGGAAAGAAGGGGAAGCAAGTGAAGGGAGGGAAGGAAGGAAGAAAAGGGAGGAAGGGAGGAGAAAAAGAGAAGGAGAGAATAGAGGGAGCAAGTGAAGGGAGGGAGGGAGGGAGGAGAAAAAGGAGGGAAGGAGAGAAGGGGGAGCAAGTGAAGGAAGGGAAGGAAGAAAAGGGAGGGAGGAGAAAAGGGGAAGGAGAGAAGAGAGGGAGCAAGTGAAGGAAGGAAGAAAAGGGAGGAAGTGAGGAGAAAAAGGGAAGGAGAGAAGGAGAGAAGAGAGGGAGCAAGTGAAGGAACGGAAGGAAGGAAGAAAAGGGAGGAAGGGAGGAGAAAAAAGAGGGAAGGAGAGAAGGGGGAGCAAGTGAAGGGAGGGAGGGAGGAAGGGAGGAAGGAAGGAAGGAAGAAGAAAAGGGAAGGAGAGAAGGAGAGAAGAGAGGGAGCAAGTGAAGGAAGGGAAAGAGGAAGGAAGGAAGGAGAAAAAAGAGGGAAGGAGAGATATTAGAACCCTGCTCTCACATCTCCCCCCCTCATCTACTTTGAGACTTCTGATACATAAGGAAAAAAAAACAACCTGTGACGTTTGTCCATTTGTGGGATCTTCGGATGGTTGAATATTTTTTTTTCTTTTAAAATTTCTTTTTCTTTTTTCTTTTAAATCCCCCCCCGCCCCCCCTCCCCATTTCAGGTCAACTACACCCAGCCTGTGGTAGCCATCAAATTCCTCAACCTGACCTTCAACCACGACCACAACGTGGAGTGTAAGATCAACGCCGTCAATATCGCCACCGACAACGAACGAGACAAGTTCGCCGGCCGCGTGACTTTCAAAATCCGGGTCAACAAAGACTGAAGCTGACAAACCCACCCACCCCCCAAAATCCCATCCCACCCCCCACCCCATCCCACCTCTTCCTCCTCCATCTCCTGGACCCTCCAAAGCAGATCCTTCCCCGGTGGCTCTTTGCAATCCCTCCACAGAGCTTACAACGAGAACTGAGTCCAAAGTGGAGGAAAATTGGAGGAGGAGGCGGGGAGGGGGCGGAAGGAGGATGGATGGATTTTGGGGAGGGGAGGTCCCCTTTGGCCGCTGCTGCTCACCTCTGTCTCTCACTAACCTTTGCCGTTAGACAATCCCGCCTCTCTCGTTGACCCAAGAATGAAGGGGTTTTTTTGCTCCCACCTTATCTTCTCATAGCTCCCCGCACCCCGCACCCCAAAACCTGGCGATGATCGATTCTAACATCTTGCAAGGGGAAGCTCAGTGCTTTTGGCCTCTCTCTTGCAGCCCTCCCTTGTCTTCCCTTGGAGATGTTTCCTAATATAATAATAAAATGTATATAGATATTTTTTTATATATATATAAAAGTATATATTAAAAATTTAAGGTACCACGGAATCGAGATATTTTCCTGCTATAATATGCATGGATCGGGGAGGAGGGGGTGAAAGAGGATAGCCAGGTTAAAGAGTTGGCGGTCACCCCCCCCCAAAGCGTGTGGCCATCGTGACAGGGAAGGCAAGTGGGGGTCGATGGGGACGATGGCCCCATTGATTTCAGGAGGGTTACACTTCCTGCCCAGTTTAGGTAGTAGCCCCGATGCTTCTCAGCCTTGAAGATGGGTGGACTTCAACTCCCAGAATTCCCCAACCAGCTGTGCTATCAAGGGTTATTTTTTTCACTTTGTGCTGAAGTCAAGGTATATTACATCTCCCAACCTCTATTTAAAAAGTTATATGACATCTACCGCATTCTCTTCATCTATTAAAGTTATATGACATCTACTGCATTCCCTTCATCTATTAAAGTTATATGACATCTACTGCATTCCCTTCATCTATTAAAGTTATATGACATCTATTGCATTCTCTTCATCTATTAAAGTTATATCACATCTACCTCATTCCCTTCATCTATTAAAGTTATATGACATCTATTGCATTCCCTTCATCTATTAAAGTTATATTACACCTACATTCCCACCATCTACGGTGGGAATGCAGTAGGCGTCGTATCAGACGCATCAAAGTTACCTAATTGGACGGGAAATTCCACCCATCTTCAAGGTGCAAAGGTTGAGAAATGCTATACTGGGCGAAGGTGCAAAATGACGTCTGATTTTGCACGAGGCTAGTCCTCAAGAAGAAGAACAACAAAATGTCTAGGAAGCTGGCTTGGCCTCCCAAACTCCTACATTGGGCTGTGAGTGCAATCCCACAAATGCGGCGGCTTATGGGCATGGCGGCTGTTGTACGACGGCCCTGGTGTGTGGGTCTCCTTGCAAAATTTAATTGCCACGGCATCTGCGAATGTGGTTTGTTGGTTTTAATTTCTAATCCTGGAATTCCACTTTCCCGTTCTTTTCTCCTGTCCTAGGATCGACACAAACGTCTCTTGTTTGTTAGTGTACAGCTGTTTTAATCTGTTGTGATAGTGGCACCTTGCACTAAGATAATATAAGTGAAATCCCAGTTTCCAAAATAACCACGGGGGGGGAAATTGCTGACCGAACTAATGATGATCTCTTTCTAGCCAACATTAATTAACGGTTGGAGATGTTTGCAACATCGGTTGTTGTCTATATCTTTGGCAAAACAAAAAACAAAACACCACATATTTTAAACAAAAAAGCAATGGAGGATTTATTTCTTTAACTTTCTTTGTGTTTTATTTTCAAGGTAATATTAAAATTTCTTCCCTTTATACAGTTTTAAAGATGCACCTTTGAGGAATGTGTATGTATGTATGAATGGCACTCATAACTTTAAAACTCCTCCGCTTTTTAACTTTCTTGATTTTATTTTATTTTATTTTGTTGGTCTTGGTTTTTATTTGCAGAATTATTTAATTGCCTGTATCAGATTTACTGTGAAAGAAGAGAAATAAAACTTTAAAAAAAAATTATCAACCTCCTAATGTTGTTTTTTTAATAGTAAGACATCTGTAGCGGAACACAAAGGGGTCTTGTGGAATTCCTACTTTAATGAATTGCGGAAAAGAATATATATTAATCATGGTTTTATGGAAGCAGGAAAACATTCCAGCTGAAGCTTGTCTAAATCTCTTCCAACTCCCAGAATTCCTATTAAGATGGATGGACTTCAACTCCCAGAATTCTCTGGCATTTCTTTTGCTAGGTATATCCATTGTGCCCAGTTTACTCTCTTATAATCCCTTCCTCTGCGATCTCTCCATTTTGAGAGGATCCGGTGGGAAAAAAAAACCAGACATGGCTTGGCTAGGGAATTCTGGGAGTTGAAGTCCACACATCTTGAAAGTTGCGGAGATTGAGAAAATATCCGATTAAATCCACCAAATGGACCTGTCCTACGGCCATTTGAAAGAAACAGTATTTTTAATCTCCGGGCTGCCATTTTGAATCCATCCGCCAGAGATATTTTTTTTTCCTGACCTTTGTTTCGGTTTTGATATTTTTAAAGATCTAATCGAATTTGGGGGTTTTTTGGTTTAATGGAGTCAAGCAAAAGCAGAGTAGAATAGAAATAATAGGATAGGATAGGATAGGATAGGATAGGATAGGATAGGATAGGATAGGATAGGATAGAATAGAATAGAATAGAATAGAATAGAAATAGAATAGAATTAGAAATAATAGAAAATACAGAATAGAATAGAATTCAGAATAGAAATAGAATAGAATTAGAAATAATAGAAAATATAGAATAGAATAGAATAGAGTTAGAAATAATAGAAAATACAGAATAGAATAGAATTAGAAATAATAGAAAATTAGAATAGAATTAGAAATAATAGAAAATTAGAATAGAATTAGAAATAATAGAAAATTAGAATAGAATAGAATTAGAAATAATAGAAAATATGGAATAGAATAGGATTCAGAACAGAAATAGAATAGAATTAGAAATAATAGAAAATATAGAATAGAATTAGAAATAATAGAAAATACAGAATAAAATAGAATTAGAAATAATAGAAAATTAGAATAGAATAGAATAGAATTAGAAATAATAGAAAATATGGAATAGAATAGGATTCAGAATAGAAATAGAATAGAATTAGAAATAATAGAAAATATAGAATAGAATTAGAAATAATAGAAAATACAGAATAGAATAGAATTAGAAATAATAGAAAATTAGAATAGAATAGAATAGAATTAGAAATAATAGAAAATATAGAATAGAATAGGATTCAGAATAGAAATAGAATAGAATTAGAAATAATAGAAAATATAGAATAGAATAGGATTCAGAATAGAAATAGAATAGAATAGAATTAGAAATAATAGAAAATATAGAATAGAATAGAATTAGAAGTAATAGAAAATTAGAATAGAATAGAGTGTGTGCTTTGGAGAATAGTGTTTTCCGTTGAGAGTGATTTATGCACTTGGATTCATTAGGAATAATTTTAATAATAATAATAACTTTATTGTCATCGTACGTGTATACACAGAATACCCATACAACGAAATTCATTTAACATCCAAAGACCAGGTCCAACATACATAACAATCCCCAAATTTGCACCCCCAGTGCAGAGTGGGGGAGGGGGTGGGTTGTCTTCCCCATTTCCCCAAACTGAACCGTATTTGGGAGAGGGTCCTTCAACCAGGTTGGGGATCCGGACCCCCAAACCGGCAATTCTTTTCGGTCTGTCCTTGGCAACATGATTCGTGTTTTTTTTTTTTCTCGATCGATTCAACCGTCGCGATGCACCCAAGAAAAGCATACAAAAGACAGAAATAGGAATAACATTAAAAAAACAACAACACTGCATAATGAAAGTTAATGAAATTGTTTAATTTAATTAAGAAAAGAATTAATTAAGCATAATGAAAGGTGATTAGAGGCCCGGAGATTAAAACCTTCGAAGAACAGTTGCAGGAACTGTTTTTTCCCCGCAGTTTAAAACATTGCAGGTGGGATGTGTTGTTTTAAAGATGTGATTGCACAAATCCTCCAGGAATGCCAGCTTTTAGGGGAGGAGACTGGGGGCTACTGGGGATGCAGGGACCCCCCCAAAAAAAATCTCTGAAGGGACCCCCCCCAGATATTTTAATGTAAGGCCAAACTTTCTTTCCACCCAGTCTCCATTCCTTGCTTGGAATTGCAACAGCGACTTTGCCAAATATCATTTAATTATTAATTACACAGCGATCGTGATCTCCCTCCTTAATAATTGATTGAAAAACCGGCTCAAAGATCCGACATAATGCAAGCGGTCACTAAAGCAGCTCTAAAGAGGTTCCCCCCCCCCACTGGCCAGGCCAAATCTCTCCTTTCCTGTAACTCGTCCACGGACGAAATATTTGTACCAATAAAAGAGAATATTTGGAGCTCAGGGTTGAAAGGAAGGGTCCTTGGTGGTCTCAGATAGTGGGGTTTTTTTTGCAGACGTCTCGTGACCCAACTAGAGAACATTATCAGTATTAGAAGAAAGGGGAGCAAATTGTCTGCAAATTCAGCTTCAGGATAGGGTCTAAAATGGACCTACAAAACCTGGAAAACAATGTCCATTTTTTTTTTCAAAGGGTGGGGGGAATCCGTCTTAAAGCAAGGGGGCCTCTGATGCTGCGACCCCCCCATCCCCATAAGGGGTTTTTCAAGCTTTTGGAGGGGTGTGTGTGTGGGTGGGGGAGTGGGAGTGGGAGTGGGAGGGGGTCCTGGGGGAAGGGAGAGATGTGTTGTCCCCTCTGTGCATGGCAGTTTTCTGCAGCCTCAGTTCTCGGTGCAGAAATGGCCAAAAAAAAAAAAAACCCGCGATGTGCAGGCAGGAGTTGGCACATCCCAAAAGTGGGACGGTCGCCATGGCGACGGGGAGCGGGCTTCTCTGCAGGAAGAGGGTTGCCGTGGTGACGAAGGAGCCCTCCATTCATTGCAAAGAAGGAAAGATCCAGAGACTGGGGGGGGGGGGAAGGGGTCGGGGGCTGAGGCTGGGAGGGGGGGATGTAGCTTTGCTGGGGTGTTCAGAAATCCCCTCTTTCCCCCCCCCCAAAAAAAAATTCCATATATATTTTGGGGAGCTCCCGAAAAAAATTCTAGGCCTGCACCCTAAAAATTCCCTCGAGATCACCAGAGGTGTGGGAAAACCGAGAATTGCAAGTTTTAAAGGTGCTTCAGTAAATTTGACATTTTAATATGTATGTATCGATGGATGGATGGATGGATGTGGATATATGTATGTATATGATGTATATATATATATATATAGAGAGAGAGAGAGAGAGAGATTAGAGAGAGAGAGACAGAGAGACAGAGAGAGAGAGATGGATATGGATATGGATAGATATGGATAGATGGATAGAGAGAGAGAAAGAGAGAGAGATTAGAGAGAGAGAGAGAGAAATTAGATAGCAATAGAGAGAGAGAGAGAGATGGATATAGATAGCTATGGATAGATGGATAGAGGGAGAGAAAGAGAGAGAGAGAGAGAGAAATTAGATAGCAATTGAGAGAGAGATGGATAGAGATAGATATGGATAGATGGATAGAGAGGGAGAGAGAGAGAAAGAGAGAGAGATTAGAAAGAGAGAGATTAGAGATAGATAGATAGATAGATAGATAGATAGATAGATAGATAGATATAAAGAGAGAGACAGAGACAGAGAGAGAGAAAGAGGGAGATTAGAGAGAGAGAGAGAGAGATGGATATGGATAGATATGGATAGATGGACAGAGAGAGAGAAAGAGAAAGAGATTATAGAGAGAGAGAAATTAGATAGCAATAGAGAGAGAGATGGATATCGATAGATATGAATAGATGGATAGAGAGAGAGAAAGAGAGAGAGATTAGAGAGAGAGAGAGAGAGAAATTAGACAGCAATAGAAGAGAGAGAGATGGATATAGATAGATATGGATAGATGGATAGAGAGGGAGAGAGAGAGAAAGAGAGAGAGATTAGAGAGAGAGATTAGAGATAGATAAATAAATAGATAGATATAAAGAGAGAGAGAGAGAAAGAGAGAGAGAGATGGATATGGATCGATATGGATAGAGAGAGAGAGAGAAAGAGAGAGAGATTAGAGATGGCTAGAGAGAGAGAAAGAGATTAGAGAGAGAGAGAGAAATTGGATAGCAATAGAGAGAGAGAGAGATGGATATAGATAGATATGGAGAGATGGAGAGAGAGGGAGAGAGAGAAAGAGAGAGAGAGAGATTAGAGAGAGATAGATAAATAGATAGATAGATATAAAGAGAGAGAGAGAAAGAGAGAGAGAGAGATGGATATGGATAAATATGGATAGATAGATAGGGAGAGAGAGAAAGAGAGAGATTAGAGAGAGAGAGAGAAAGAGAGAGATTAGATAGAGATAGATAGATACGGTAGATAGATCGATATAGAAGATAGATGATAAAGATAATAGATAGATAGATAGATAGATAGATAGATAGAGAGAGAGAGAGAGAGATAGATAGCTAGATAGATTTTATTTTATTTATTTCTTTTTTATTTATTAATTGAATTTGTATACCGCCCTTCTCCCAAAAGGGACTCAAAAGATAAGATAGATAGACAGACAGACAAGATAGATAGATAGATAGATAGATAGATAGATAGATAGATAGATAGATAGATACACACACAAACACACATACGTACATATTCCTTCTTAGACTTTCTGGAAGATTAAGCCGTGTGGGAGCTCTGGATTTATGCAGGATTTGTAATCGGATTGGAGAAAGAAATGGGTCAGCACTGCTCGCCCCGAGAAGATTCGCTTTCCAGCGAGTCCTTGACTTACGACTGTTCATTTAGTAACCACTCAAGGCACTTTAAAAAGCGACTTAGGTCCACGTTTCACACTTACGACCGTTGCATTATCTCCCTGGTCACATGACTTACATGAGGGCGCTTGGCAACCGACTCGTATTTATGACGGTTGCGGGGCGTCCCGGAGGGGGAGGGGAGTGTCACGCGA